AACAAACTAATCAATTGTTTCATTGTCTCTTTTAAATACAATCAAATCTCACTTTTTATCAGCATTTTCATATCTTTATGAGATTCATTCTCATTTCGCTCAGAAAATTTCCTCGTGCGATTCATTTTACAATATTATTAACCTTGGATAACATTTGTACCTAGACTCATGATAATCAGTTACTATAAATATCACTTTCGATTTCGAGTGCTAATAAAATAAATTCTAAAGTTTTCTCGATTTTCTTTTGGCTATTGAATTTCTATTTAAACTAGAATATGGTTAGAATTGAGGTCAATAATATCAAACTATCACAACATACTAGTATTAATACATGAAAAAAAAATCGACCAGAATATCAGAATAATAACTGAGCTCATATGAATTAATTGAAAATTTAATATGAATAATTATTTCAACTTCAACAATTGGAAAACAATTTCGAGATATTCAAATTCTTTATGTAATTTTTTCTCTCGAAACTTTGACCTCGAACAGTTGAAATTTGAACTATTTTATATAGCTTAAAGTAGGACAAATCAGTTATCATTATTTATTACAATCACAAGGTGAATGACAGTTTATTACAACGTTACAACGACTCCATATAATTTAGATAAGCAAATTTAATTATCTCTCTCTCTCTGCACATTGATGTTACTATTATAATGCCATTGGACTGATGATCAAAGGGGTAAATGAACCCTAAAGCCGATCTCCATGAAGCTTTTTTAGATAGAGCACTTATTGACTCTGACTAACCTTCTTTAAAAGTTCTAAAAATGTTTGATTAGGCCACAATCAGCGATTCGATTTTTTTATCATTTTCTCCAATTTAGATGAATTAAATACTTCATCTTATCGATTATTTTCGTCAGCATTTCACAAGCATCGTCAACACGATTTGCCTTCCGTTAAAGTTCAACGATATCGATGTATGTAATACCTTTCCTTGGACAGTAAATGATTAGCATATTGGGTCATTAATGCATCGATATCGGTTATTTGTCGTTCCTTGGCTAATCAAAATACTTTGATCACCAAGATTTTTTAACGCTTCTCTCATTCCAATATGTTTGTCATCAAACAAATTACAATCTATTATTCTTATACAGCCAAAGACTTTGAGTTTGCAACCACTTTTTAAATCATTCACGCAGTTAATGATAATCAAGTAAACGTAACTTTTGATATCTAACCAGTTGACCATTTTAAGACTTCATCACTTAAATTAGTGGACAAACTTATCATCATATCTTTGGGTTAACTGTATCTCTCATTAATTAGATTCAACTGCGTGAATGATTAAGTAAACAAGTAAACAAGGACCAATCGATTGGCCTCAAATCGGTGGACCTAAAATGGTTAATCTGATTGGGTTAAACAACAAGTTCGTTGGTAAAATTGATAATTTAACTGGAACAAAATGTTTATCATCACAATTAACTAATGCCAAGTAATCAACAAACTTATGTTGTATCTTTGCTGTTAAATAAAAATATCAACAATTAAATTAGTTAATCATGAAAATAGATCAATAAATGTAGTATTAGTTGAATCAACAATATCTATCCCGATATTATTAATAATTACTTAAAAACTATTGTCAATAAATTATTTTGTTGGCTTTGATGGTTAACTTGTATCCTTCTTTAATTAACTCGAATAACTGTTTAATATGTTCCAATTATTACAATCAACTTTATCTAATAATTAATGTAAAAAAAGAACAATTTAATTTTCGGTTTTACCATAAATTCCGTAAAAATCTATGACAGCAAATCGGGTCTAAGATCTTAGTATCTGGAATTAGACTATTGTTTGAGTTGCACCGATTCACGAATAATAAGATGAATAAGTTGATTAAATGTTTCACTTTGTCACTAATTGCACTTAATTGTTTGATTACAATGGCGAATAAAAAATATATAAACCAATTGATTGATTTAATTTTCATCATAATTGAAATAGTTTTACAAGTTTAACTCTTATAATACAGTAAAAAAACAATAAGAAATAAATAATTGAAATGAAGTATGCATCTAATGCTGACCATAACCTGGACATCGCTCCTGCAATTGAATGATAATACAGGGCTATTCAGCTATTTTCGCCGATGTTTTTTCGCGCTTATCTTAGCAAATAGAAGGCACAAAGACTCACAACTTGAGTGTTTTGAGGTTGAATGATATTCAATTTTCATATCAAAAGATCAAGGCCATTCAGGTCATGGGTAAAATAACAAGTTTCAAGGTCATCTGAAGGCATAAAAAGTGAACAATGGGGATGTTGATTAGTCGGTGGGTGAAAGTAAATTTATATTGGGGACATGATTATAAGAGATGTAGAACTTATTGGTCCCATCATCATTGAACAGTTATTGATATCCAGAACGATATCTAGGGTAACCTTTCGCTTTTTCATTAAATCCTTCCATCAAATATTTACGTATCTTTGAAATGTCTATAATGGGTTTATCGGGAGCGCACGCTAAATTTACCTCTTCTGTCAAGGCCTCGAGATTGACTTTGCTTATGTCGTTGTAGGTCATTATCTCCACATCCATCTTCTTTCACTGCGCTGAAAAATGGACTGCCTATCTTTAAGGAGTAACATAAACAAGATAAACTGATTCGAAAAGTTAACACTTATTAATGATCGAAAGATTTTTGAAAATTTAATGTTATCGCAAACTAAATTGAAAGCAAATGAAACAAAGAGAATTTTACCGTATTGATGTTTTCATGTTTCGTGTTTGATGTTTGATCAAAGTTTATTTTGTAAACGATTAATTGGCTTTTTTCTGACCATATTGTCTCACACTTTCCACAGTGCTATTTTTACCGATGTTTTTTGCGATTTTTTCAGCAACTAAGAGTCAGAGAAACTCGTGACTTTAGTGGTATAAGTTTGAGTGATACTCAATTGTCATATTAAGAGATCAAGGTCATTCAGGTCATTGTTGAAAGAAAGCGTTTCAAGGTCATCTGAAGGTTTTCCAACATCGGTAAAAATAGCTGAATAGCCCCTGTAGTTTCTAGCAACAGTGGATCATGACTTCATGTTCACCTCTTCGTGAACCCGAAAAGTTTGATGCCGATGATATCGAATTGAGTCTTAAGTTTATGAAAATTTGGGCTGATTTCGCACGAAATGGGTAAGTTAATCATTATAAATTACTATTTGATCACAGAATCAGTTGACTCAATTTTACTTAATTATATCTCTAGAATACCAACTAAACCAGGACCAATTGCTTGGCCTGAAATTGGTGTATCAGAAATGGTTAATCTGATTGATGTTGTCTTGTTGATTGTATCATAGTTTAATCAACTTTCCATCTCTCAATAAAGTTGAGTTGCTAATATTGAGCGATAATATCAGAGGATAAAAATCTAATCTCATTTATGAGACCCGGTTATCTAAATTGAAAACACTCTTGATTTTAATCTGTTCTAATTAATACAATCAACTTTATCTATTAATTAACGTATTTTTATGAAGGCTTGATAAAAAGTCTCATATTTTATCCCCACATGTTAATCAAAATGTATCAAGTTGATTATAAAAATCAAATTAAACACAGCGATTAACAATTATCGGTTAACGGTTTACAGTTGTGGTGATTTAATTAACGCTAATAATATAAGTTATAAATTCTGAATAAATAAATATTGACCACTAATGGACAATTAATAATTAGTGGACTTTTACAACGAAAAAAAAGTTTTCAAAGAAAAATTCAATTTCATGATTAACTTAATTAGAAGTAAATTAAAAGTTTTTTATTTTTTGAATAGAAAGTAGAAAAAAAACTATCTAATTACAATCAGTTAATTTGATTATCGTTGTGCAATTGGGTAAATCAAATTTCGTTTAGCAATTAAAGGCCCAAAAATTTATTACTCAGAATCGCTTAATCCTTTGCCCCTTAATCGGCTTCTCATCGCAATCTTGATTAAAGCATCAGCAGTTTCTTTACCTGTTGATTGCTCAGAAAAACAAATTTTCAAAGGCTTTGTATTGTTTGAGTTGCACCGATTCACGAATAATAAGATGAATAAGTTGATTAAATGTTTCACTTTGTCACTAATTGTACTCAATGATTGATTAGAATAGCGAATATAACCAATATAATAGCAAACCAGTTGATTGATTTCCAAGTTTAATTCTTATAATACAGTTGAAAAAAGAATATGAAATAAATGATTGAAATGAAGTGCGATATAAGAATGGAGAGGTCGATCTACCTACGAATAGTAGGGTATTCCTTACGTCGCAGCTCCGATTGATTCACTTCGATTTTTGTGCCAGAACATCCGAAGCCATGGGAAGGAATTAAAGTTACAATCGATTAGGGAAAATCTTGCCCTCAGAATCCATGGTAATTACATTTTCCAAGTGTCTTGATGACATAACCAAAATATCCTTTTCTTGAAATATCATGAGTATTACTGCCGAATACATTCATGAAGATTGTCTCTACATGAACATTTTTGGTAACAAGGAAACATTCAAATACATCTACTTTCGGTTATGTCCACACTCAGGTCTCTTTAACGCCATTCGCTATTCCCTCGCCAGATTGTAGTAGGCAAGTTGATAGAGTTTGTCATGGTAATGAATTGATTTTCGTCTTTGGTTCACCTCTTCGTGAGCCCGAAAAGTTTGATGCCAAATGGGTAAGTTAATCATTATCAATTACTATTTGATCACAGAATCAATTTACTTAATTTTATTTAATCATATCTCTAGAATACCAACTAAACAAGGACCAATTGTTTGGCCTGAAATCGGTGGATCCGAAATGGTTAATCTGATTGAATTGAACAACAAATTCGTTGGTAAAATTGATCATGAAACTGGTACAAAATGTTTGTCCAAAATTTGAATTTAATTTTATCAAGTGATCAAAACGATAATTATGACATTTTATCTTTACTAGTAAATAATCAATAAATTATCATCGTCAATATATTTGTTCTAATTGAAAATCTATAATTCAGTTCTGTATAATTACAATTAGATTGTGTTTGACGATTGAACCAAGACAAAAATATTACGAGAAAATGTTTCCACTTCTTAATAACATTCAGAGATGAACAATTGAATCGTCCAATTAATAGTATTTTCTAATCTCTATTATGATGTAATCGGATGGTGACAAAGTGGACAATTATTGAATGTGACCAATTCAATCTTGAGACAGTTATGTTTACACCTTGAGCAAGTCCATTGCTGAGATGAATCCATAATTGGTTTGCCTGAGGCGACACAAATTGGAAATTTAACATTACACGAGGGACAAATTGTCGACCAATCAGCAATCATAGTCTCACAATATGAACATTCTGATCGAGATAAATTTTTCGATTCTTTCGGTGGATTTAAAGTGAATATATTAATCGAGAAATCTTGATAAGCTGATCTCCTTTCTTCTGGAATTGATTCAAGTGATTCCAATTTGATAAAAGCTTTCGATGCAATGTAATAATTTGAATTGACGATACTTGTGATGGCAATCAACGAATAAATATCTTCCGGGTCAATATAATCATCGTAATCAATTAAATTGAGGCTCGTTTTCATGGCCGAATCATAATAACCATCATACAATTGCTTCTGAGCGTAAATATAAAAGTGATAAGCTTCAGCTCCTTTCCATGGTTGATCAAAGGCCTTATTGAAATGTTTACTCCAATGTTGATTGTTGAAAGATGATGAATGATCATCAATTAATAGTGAATTAAGTGTATTAGTCCGGCGATCGTTAATCGTTGACGTGGTGTAATATTGTTCATAGAGAAGTCCAATTAATGTGTAAACCTTTTTCATACTGATCACTGGGGACAATCCCAATTTAGGTGAATTAATCTTCATCTTATCAATTATTTTCAACAGCATTTCACAAGCGTCGTCAACACGATTGGCCTTTCGGTAAAGTTCAACGATATCGATGTACCTTTCCTTGGACAGTAAATGATTAGCGTATTGGGTCATTAATGCATCGATATCGGTTATTTGTCGTTCCTCGGCTAAACTAATCGCCATTCGCCATTCATTTAAATTTACACAACATTTAAGAGCTGAATCGAGACGAGATGCTTTTTGGTAGGCTTTCACAGCGTCGCTACAAAGGCCACTTGACTCGAATATCCATCCAAGTGATTCCAATAATGTCGGTGATTCAATATCGTTGAGCAGTTTTCTTAGACCATCATAGTTTTCCAATAACGTGTAACATTTAAAGAGTTGGTGCCAATCTTGACACTGCTCATAGTAATCGACTGCATCAGACCATCGATGCGAATCAAAATATTGATCACCAAGATTTTTTAACGCTTCTCTCATTTCGATATCATTGCCATTATGACCCATTGAATCGTCCTGAATTAGTTTAACTACTTTAGGCCAATCACCGATCATTTTTCTTAATGAGATGGCTAAATCTTGTCGGTCACAATTGAGATAAACTTTTTCCGCTTCGTCAAATGAACCAAAAAATGCGTAAACTTCAGCTCGTTGCAGTTCTTGATTTGGTAACTTTGACACTCTTTTAGCGAACTGGATTCCTTTGTGATCTTTACAACGAACCAGAGCAAGTTCAGCGTTCTTGAAATCTAATAGTTCGAGAGACGATTCAGCTAGTAATCTCCATAGTCGAGGATGAGAATGCTCTTCGATAAAAGAAGTTCCCTCAACTGGTCCAACTTTTTTCAGCACTTCTTTTGCTTCTCGTAATAATTTAGTCTCATGTTCAATCAAATATCCATCTGATTGTGACGTTGATTGGTATTGTGATGCATCAACGTGATTCTGTTGATGGTATTGATGGAATGATGTTGGTGAACATGATTCGATAACCAAACCATCAATAAGAACCATTTTAACAACTAAATCTTTAAATTGACAGATATTACCATTGGAAGTAATTGATTCATCAGGTTCTAAATTAGAGTAAACAATTAATTTCGATTTCTCCGTGATAGCAAATGCATCCGAATTCTCAATGGACCAACAAAAGTCCCAAATATCTTTCTTCTCGAACTCAAGTATCGAAGGTTTCGTCGTTGTTGTCGCCTCCAAATCGATGATAGTTAACAGACTAAATGTGTCGATAATTGCAAGTTTTGAAGAATCACAATTAAGATAAATTGATTTAGGTTTACAATCGATAGTAAACTTTTGAGTTAAACTAAGTTCCGGCATAAGATATGAGAAAATGTTCCCTTCCTCAGTCGCAATGATTAGTACCCGTTCTGATAAAGCTAAACAAATGATTTGATCATCAGATGAATGAGAAAAATTCAAGTTGATTGTGTCAATTTTATCATATCGCTGATTTGATCCATTTTCATCTCGATCATCAAATCCCAATGATAATCCACCATCAATAGCTGATTGATTGTAGCTCCATGGTGTCGACAATGAAGATAAAGATGATGAACTTAATCCTGGTTGATGATTGTTAACACTTTGATGGTCATTATTATTTAGATATTGACCTTTGGATGGTGGTTTAAATGACCAAACAACGAAAGAGTTGATTGAAGCAGCGACAACACGAGTTGAATTGATGGCAATTTGGTTAACAAGTAAATCGATGTTAACAGAATCGATCGGTGTCCCAATTGAATTACATAAAATCAGTGAAAAATGATTGTTTAAAGTTGATTGTTTGATCGATGGTGAATATTGGTTATCCTCTGTTGGAGATGAGGTTAAGTGTTGGTAAGATTGTGTTGCAGTTGTTGATTGTTTTGTAGATAATGATGAAGTTAAATCATCAAATCCAGTGGCAAATACACAATATTGTCCATAAGATGCAAGACAATTAAGATTTTTGATATTTTTGATTTGCCTCGAATTTGAGTTTAGATTATAAAAAATGACCGTATCACTTATTCCCGAGCCCGAATTAGCAACTCGATTAGTGTCCAAAATTGTCTTCATATCTCGAGGTAAAGCGACGATCACCGTGTTCGCAAAATAAGACCACAGGTAATCGGGCCTAATGTTGGCAAAGAAAATGTAATTATCAACGCCTAAGGCGATTCTCAGTCCTTCCTTTTCCCATGCACATGAGACAATATCTTTACCAGGAACTTTCAGAGTTTGAACCAAAGAACCAATTGGATCGTAAAACTTTACCCAATTAGTTGACGATTCCTCAGTTGCCCCTGAACGCCCAGTGATCGCTAAATAGGTACCAAAATGATTCCACGACAAACAAGTAATTGTCATCTTGGTGTCGATTAAAATTGGATTATCATCACATTCATTTTTCATCAACTGAATTACACCATTGGATAATCCGATTGCTAAACTATTTGGTAAGTTACCATTACTAAACCATTTTATGTCAATAACCTTGTAAATACAGAGAGAAACAAATTGTAACAACAATTAACCATAAAATTTGCTGATCATTACAAGTCTTGATTGATTGATTGATTGATTATTACCTGAACCGAATCAATAAAACCAGTAATTGCCCTTCCATTGGCTCCATTAACACCAGGTAATGGGACTTTACCAACATAATTACCTGTCTGATCATAAATATGAACTTGACTCGAGGTTGAACCAAATAAAATTAATCGACCATCGGGTGACCATTGGACGCTAGTTAGTTTGATTGATTTAATCTCTTTACCCCAAAGTCTATTACCATCAACCGAACCAACAATAATCGCACCATCTTCATAAACGATACAAATTTTAAGACCATCAGATGACCAGCACATACCAATTACTACAGATCGATTACGATTGTTGACCATTTCCTCGTACCAAGAACCTTTATACAACATCCAGACGATAATTAAACCATTCGAATCGGATGAAGTTAATTTCTCATATCTCTCATTCCATACGACAGATATAACATCACCATTATGACCTTCAAGGGTTTGATTCATTGATAAATTTTTGGGTAAATTTAGATTAGTTGATTTAACTTCCCAGGAATCTAATTTGAGGACTTTAAGTAAACCGTTACTTGCACCACAGGCGATGAATCCGTGCTCTTGGCTCCAGGCGATGCTTCGGACTTTCCGTTGGTTTGGAACTGCGATTTTTTTACTTAGATAGATTAACATTGTGGAAAATTGATTACAATTAATTAGAATTACAGTTAATTAAAAGGTAGAACAGTGGATCAGAGCTGTGAAAGAAAAGAGTTGTTTTTTAGAAAACAAATCAAACAATTTCCATAGAAACCTTTTGTTTATTTTCTTTCACTTTTCCAAAATAATTATGGGCCAGTTTAGATCAAAATTGTTACGAAAATTGATTCTAAATTTTTCAATTAAAATATATACTAAAATAGGTGAATATTAATACACCTCATGGTAGTTACAATGAATTTCATTTAGATCCATCAAACAATTTCACAGAATGAGGAACAATTTTTTCATGTTTGTTTTGTGATACTGAACTTTAAAAAAATGATCACCATTGGAAGAGTTTAAATGAATTGTCAGATCAGTTTATCATTTGAATTGGTTTGATTATCCGAGAGTTTTTGATAGTAGATTTAGGAAATTGCCATAGAGAAAAAAATGTTGGAATTGGAATTGGAAGGCGACAAATCATTACCATTGTTGATTGGTTTGACTTTTGGTTACGTTCACTTCGGATAAGCCTTTTACCTTAAGACTTTCAGCGCTTTTTAATACTGATGCCAATTGCTCTTGAGGGACGAAAACCTCTCCTCTGTAAATAAATTCAACGATAGCACGAAGATCGGCAAAAGGAATATCCTTCATAATGACAACTGGATATTGATAGGGATTGACAAATTTGTTGAAAATATTCTTAAAATAAGATGAACAAGCGGAAAGAACCATTTTATGAGCCCGAATACTTCCATCGACACAGGAAAGGGTAACATCAACCATCGCTTCCTCTTTGAACATTCGTTCAAAATGCTCCGACATATCGGAAGAATGATTATTCCGTCGAAGACAAAAAGCTTGAGCTGACATTGCTTGAGGGATTCCTGCATGTTGATCTTGAGCTGCAGCCATTTTGGTAGAAGAAACAAAAACCAAATTTATCTGATTAAAGACAAAGAGAGAAGAAGAAGAAAAAACTGAAAAGAAGAAGAAAATAAAAAATCAAAAAGAAAAAAAGAAAAAAAAAGAAAAACAATAATAAAACAATTAATTAGAATGTTTAACTAAACACAAACCAAATTAATCTAAAGGTAAGATGATCTTGAAGCTTTTACACTTGATTAACAATTTAAATGGTTTAATAAGATTAGGTAACAATTAAAGGAAAACAATTAATTGTTAGTTAACTTAAATCTAAACTTTTACTTGAATAGATAAAAAAAACCGAGGCCTCACTTTGGATAACCGGATTTTGGAATCGATATTTTCATTTGGATCTCCCAAGTATCGGATCTTCACATTTTCTTTACGTTTTCAATTTTTGTTTCCAAAAATTTCAATTAGTCTCTGGTTTTTAATTGTCGCAATCAATATGGTCCAATATTCAATTTTATTACCTACATATAATGAAAGGGAAAATCTACCGTTGATTATTTGGCTGATTGTTAAATCTATGGATGCCGAGTAAGTATTTTTATCTGTTATTTGTTATTTGTTGTTTACTATTTTGAAACTTGTTTTGTTTTTTGTTTAATTATTGATTATTGATTGATTGTTATCTTATTGTTTTCTAGAGGATTTTCATATGAGATTATTGTTATTGATGATGGTTCACCGGATGGTACTCTTGATGTTGCTCAAAAATTGCAGGAAATTTATGGAGATGAAAAGATTGTCTTGAGACCAAGGGAACGTAAACTTGGCCTAGGAACGGCTTATATTCATGGATTGAAACATTCCAAAGGCGATTTTATCATCATAATGGACGCTGATTTATCTCATCATCCTAAATTTATTCCACAGTTTATTAAGAAGCAAAAGGAAGGCGATTTTGACATTGTCACCGGTTCAAGATATGAGGGCGATGGCGGTGTTTATGGTTGGGATTTCAAGAGAAAATTCATCTCAACAGCAGCAAATTATTTAACTCAAATTCTATTAAATCCTGGTGTTAGTGACATAACGGGAAGTTTTCGCCTTTACAAACGTCAAGTGCTCAAATCATTGGTCAATGATTGTAAATCAAAGGGATACGTTTTCCAAATGGAAATGATTGTTAAAGCAAGAGAAAAAGGTTACAAATTGACCTCGGTACCGATTTCTTTTGTTGACCGATTTTATGGTGAATCAAAATTAGGTGCCAATGAAATCGTACAATTTGCCACTGGATTAGTGACCTTATTCATATCGACACAATTACATTTATAACTTTAAATTTATTTAAAATCAACTACTAAATGAGTTGACTCACTTTTACCACGTATGAGAATTGCCTTATCATCAGCTGTTTCATTATTATTGTTGTTGAAAATTCTGGTAATTTATCAACAAGAAGATACCAAATATTGAATCAATGGAATCAAGTTCCTTTCATTAAAATTGTTCTTGATGATTATTTATATTAGTACAAGTAAAAGTTATACTTTTTCATGAATCCAAATTAGTCTTAATTTCGTCAATTTCTTCGTGTTAATTACCTAGAAGCGACTCTCGTGAATGAAGGTAAGATTGAAATGAGATTCAATCTCTCTCGATGTCCATGATAAACTTGCCGATCAACAATCGATGTTTTTTTTTCATGGTAAATTGTTGATTCGAATGAATTTCTCGTGAGATGATTAACTTGTTTTCTCGTTTCACTCTCAGTTTTCAGCTCATTTCAATTTCTTCCTCTATGGGTGATGTTTATCCCTTCACTTTAAAAGCTTATTTCATGTAATCAAATTTTCTCACCATTAACCATGATGAACAATAAATATCCACAATCAGAGAAACTCAATCACATCAATGAACTCCAATTGAAATATCGAAAATTACTCAACGAAACTGTTTATTTACCTCCAGTCCTTGACACCTTTGACCCAACGAAACCACCGAGATGGTACAACAAGGATAAATTGGCTCAATCTCAACGAGTTTGTATGAAATATTTTTACAGGTAAGTAATTAGACTAATCAACTTACTGTAAATTAAATGAATTTCTGGTTGATTCTCTGAATGAACAATAATCCATATTCACCAACAAACCCAAACTTAAATTCAATCTCCAGTGAATTTGTAATCTCAATTTCATTGATAATTTCACAACCAGTTTAATCACAATCAAATGTATATTTACCTTGCTAATTATCAGACAACCTTGTAATCAATAATGATCACCTTGAAAGCTAATTCCTGATAATTTTTTGTTAAATTGATCATAAAAAAAAACGTCAATTGCTTTTGATGATCAAATCTTAATGATGATTTGATTGTCGATTTAATCTTTAACCATGAAGGTGTAAAGTAATCAAAGATGTCAACTAATATTTGAATGACAAAATCAACAATTAATGTTAATCATTTTGAACATTTTTTTTTCTTGATTACAGTTTATTCAAATCAATATTGATCGGTAGTTTTTTGGCTCTTCAAACACCCACATTTGTTAATCCAGTTGTAACTACAGGTAATCACAAGAATATCAGCAAAATTTACCGTCGCTATTTGGCCACAGCGATTCATATGTTAACATGGTTCCTCGAAGATCCTTTCGACCCGGAAAGTTCAGCTTACCGATCATTCAATCAGGTTCGTTCCATGCACATGAAACTGTTTCTCTCAATGAATACTCATAACAAGAATCATGGTGTTGATAAACTTGATTCATCTCTTCATGATATGATCATGGCGATGTTCCCGTTCATCGGGCTTCTCATTAACTATCCAATCGCTTGTGGGGCTCATGGAATCACCCAACATGAAAAGGATCAAATCATTTACACATGGAGAGTTATCGGTCATGCAATGGGAATCGATGATCAATACAATATTTGCAATGGATCAGCTGATGATTTCTCACAATTATATAAACAATTTGAGAGAGATTTCTTTATCCCTTTATTGTCAAAAGTTCCCAATGAAACACCATTGGGTTGGCGATTATCACAAGGATATATAATTGCTCTTAATCGGTTAGATTTTACACTTAACTTTAATTGTATCCTTTACTATTGGTTTAATATCATTGGTGTTCCAGTTACAATCAAATTAAACCTCTACGAATGGACAATCATGATGGTCAATCATTTCATCAGCAACTTTTTACTACGATTCAGATTCTTTTACAATCTAATCAACAATCATGTTCGTAGTAAAATTGATCAACATAAACAGATTCGAGATTCAGTTTCAAATGATCTTAATCAACTTTATTCACACATTAATTACGTCCCATCATGTCCAGTTAATCAAGATCCTGATTACAGAGATGATTTCATTGATTAACAATCGTAACTATTATCATCATGTATTTATTATTATAAAATCGAGTCAATTGTAAGTTGATTATTTAAATTGTTGAAATAAAAAACGAATCTATTTTAATAACATTATCGATTACCATTCAATACGATCAATACATTTCGAGGGATTTAATTAAAAACAGTTGTCCAATTGATTGCTGGTAATTAAGAGATTTGTATTGTTTGATTGATTGTGATCGCGAAAATATTTATTACATTGATCAATTGACCTGAACATATATAATAAAATGTTATTGATTCAATTGTGTGTTTACAATTAGATTAATTGTTATTGAAGAAAACAAAAGTAATTCTGTAATGATGGAATCAAATTATTGATTTGTAAGTTGTTGATTTGATTTATAAATGATTAAACTAAATTAGTAAAAGATATAAAATCATTTCATTCAATTATTTCAACTCTTCCGGTAACTTTAAATATAAATTTTAATCGTTGCAACTGATTAACTTTATCAGATTGTTTCAAGTCATTAAATTAAATTAAATGAACGAAAAAAAATAAAATTGAGACAAAATGAAAATTAAAAGAAAGTTCAAGCTCGAAAGTTAATTGTAAATGACCAGCAGAAAAATTATTTCTAAATTTACGTTAATTGTGTCAGAAAATGATTAAAATTTAGTTGATTATTTGATGAGAAAGAAGCAGAAAATTAAAAAGATGAGACAATTTAAACGATCTGATTGTTAATTGTTTTCTATTTTTTTCTTCTTCTTCTTTGTTTCTCAAATTAATCTTTCGTCTTTAATTTGATTGCTACTAATTGATTGAGAATCGTAATCTGATCAGTAAAGTAGCAATTTACTAATTTTGTAGAGATAAATTAATCATGTTAAATTGGATTTAATTTTAATCTCCTCGATCCAGTCAATCACATTGATAATATTAGTTGAAACTATTGATCAGAATTGCGATAAATTTAAAAATTGAAATTGAAATTATGTTGAACAATTTAAAAGTTAATTGTTAAGATAAAGGATTATTTAAATATAAACAAATTGATTTGAAAACACAGCAATTAATCAAAATGATGGTAATTCTGTAATAATTTTGACAGGAATCGGGTTGAAATATTATTAATATTAAAGCAGAATAACAATTTAGATTGAGGTTGATTATTAGATTGTGATTATGATCACAGTTTTACAATTTGACAAATTTAATCCAAAGGTGATGATGATTAGTGATAATTAATATGATTAAATGTTAATTGTTAATGTGAAAATGAATTGTAATGAAATAAAAAGTTGAAAAGCTTCCGGTTTGTGATAAATTTCATTAAGACCTGAAGCAAATCCTAATATGATTGTGAGATGGAAAAGTTTGAAGACAGAGAAAAAGAAAGAGACTAAGTGGGTGGTGATGATGCTCACGGCATCATCATCATCATCATCATCATCATCTGAAGATGAAATGGTTACTCAATTATCCAATATTCGGGTCGCCTGGACTTTTCGAATGGGAAAAATTACCTTTGTTCTAATAACATTTTTTAATAATCGTTGGAATCGCAAAAAATGATCAAAATGAGATGATGATGAAGAGAAATGATGAGAATGATGATGATTATTACGATGATGATGATGATGATGATGATGATGATAGGTTATAGAAATCAAATTGAAATCAAAAAGTAGCCTGAGGTCATTTTTTCAGTCAAAATTCTTTCGTGATTTTTGTTTACCAAATATTTTATACTAAAACATTAACACTGAGCGACGATTGAAAAGTAACCTACTTCCTATTATATATCGGAAACAGGATAACATGATCTCCATCTCAACGGCAACGGCTTCAGGTCAAAAATCAGTCCAAACTTTAGTGAATAAGGAGGATCTTAATCATCATCATCATCTCTTTAACTTTCTCCTCAGTGTTAATCACTTTCGCTTTAATCATCTTCTTTTGGGCTGTTCCTTTAGAATTTAATTTTCGACTATAAAAAGCGAATCAGCTAAATTGTAATTCTCATTCACATTCATTCATTTGATTTGATAACATTTGAAATCAGCTTAGTGCAGTAATTTGTTGATTCTGTTTCATTTTTGGATAACCAAAGGATAACCAACTAAACAATCAAGTAAGATTTTCCAAATCAAAGTTTATTGTGATCACATTACAATCCAATCAGTTTAGTGTTAATTAACAGTTAAGCTACTCTATCAACCTCAACAAGTGACTTGTGATTTTTAACAATCAATTTCCAATCAATAATAATAATAACAAGTGATCTTATTGTTAGATTATAATTAGTAATTCGATCTCTCTTTCTTTCTGTCTAATCAAAGTGTTTACTTATAAAGGAAAAGATTTAATTTTCTCTCTCTCTTAACGGATTAGTGTTAATCGATTGATTGTTGAAAACAAAAGTTGTAATTCTTTGTTTTAATTGATTCTCTTCATAATTAGAATGCGTTCAATTACAATCTGTTGTTTAATCGCCGCTGTGATGATCATTCTCGTCACTTTCACTCCAAGCGGAAGTGAAGCCTCCCGAAGGAAAATCATGAAGATCAAAAAACTCGCTGCTCTTGCCCTTCTTCTTAAGTCCAAGAAAAAGTACATCTTCCCAATTCCACTTCCTCTTCCTCTCCCAGTTCCGTAAGTGTCAATTTCTATAAAAAATATTCTATCGATTATAAATATTCATTGAGTAACTTTCTCTCTCTCTCTTTCTCTCTATTTCCGTTTCTCAGAGTTCTCAAGAAAACTGTCCAAGCCTGGCCTGAACCTTCATGGCCCGAACCATCATGGCCTAGCAGTGACTCTTGGTCTCAACCCCAAGCTGGTTGGTGGTAAATTAGATGATAAATTCTGATCATGATTATTAAATTAATCTCTTGATCCCTTCGATATCATCAGCTGATTATTAGGTCATTAAAATTTTTATTTGTAAATATAAATTTTCATTAAGATGATTAAAGATAACTGGATTATCTAAATATCATTAAATCTGATGCCTTTCATTTTATTTCAATTTCAATTTATTACTTGATTGACATAACTAATTGCGAATCAAAATATAAAAATAATCACAATCGCGATTGTTGTAATAATAATAACGGTTTATTGCAAAAAGATTATGATAAAAAAAAGTGATAAAGATCAATCATAATAATGAGATGATGATATCGTTTAGAATTTTTTGTTTTCACTTCATCGCTCGATCCAAGGAAATTTGGTCCATAGGCTGTCGGGCATCTTTCTCCCAAATTCTGATCGTTGTTAGAACTTTATTCAATCTATCGAGCCAAATATCTCTTTCTTTACGAATATCGGCAGCCATTAAATAGCGAACTGGTTGAAATGAGTTTTCTTTCCGTTGAAAAGTTAGGAATGAAAAGGAATACGATCTCATGCAAATGTCCGAAGTCGCTTTCGATATGGTTGGATTAACGCACTGTTTCAAACAAATGGAGCCCATCGGCTGTTTGGTACCTTCGTCTTCAGCGTATCTCCAATAATAGATTGATGGACCATCAAGTAGACACCAACGACGATTCCATACTGGATAATCTCCTGAGGTCTCATGGAAATTCAGATAACTTGAGAATTTGATATTATAATCAACGCCGATTTGTGAGTCAATGGTGATCAAATTTTCGAGAAGATCTGGACATGTCAACTTCGAAAGGTGAAAAGTGTCTTGGAATAAATTTTCTCGAGTAAAGTCAACATAACCAACGAGTTTAAAGTTACTCTTGTTTTTCTCGCACTCAGAGTTTTCGATTGATGGTAATGAACTGTTTGGTTTCGGTCTAGTTTTCGGTGTGATTCGGAAACTTTTTGATGTGATCTTTTTATCGTGATTCCGTTTACTCTTTGCTGAAGCCATAACGTAGACGTTTAAACGTATTTTGAAATTCTCTCGCAAATTGTCAAACACAATTTGATTGCTGAAACTTAAAGAGGCTTCACGAATCGAGTGATTTGAACTTAGTGTTTCTGTCGCGATAACTTTGTCCCCACAAATGAATAAACAAATGAAATTGTAATCATGAGAATCTGTGAATAGATCAGAGAGAGAGAGAGAGAGAGAGAGAGAGAGAGAGAGAGAGAGAGAGAGAGAGAGAGAGAGATGAAAAGTTATATGTAAGGAAAGATGAGATTATCAATGGACTTATCGGTTGAGGAAAGATTCGAGTTGAAATCGAAAAGGTCACTCACCGTTCCCGATCGCTTGAGAGGCAAAGAAACTTCCTTTCACTGGAATCGTTAGTTTGTTGAAAGTCACTTTACCAATTGGGTCATCGATAATATCACCAATCGATTCACTTTGTAATCGACTGAGTTCATCCTCGCAAGCAGTTTTCTTGACCACTGAACACAAAACCAAAATTAAATATTAATCGAAAATATTGATAACATCAAATGTCCACTTACCATTGACAAGAAGAATTTTTTCCGCTTCGAGTCTCTCAGAAACATTATTGGTCTGAACACACAATTCTAAAGCTCGAGAACTTTGGTAAATGATATTGTTGTATTTTTCGAGCTCCATTTTAAGATGATTCAACTTTTTCGCTCTCGAATCAATATACATTTCAATGAGTTGATTCTTTAGATTTTCAGTTTCCAGGTCATCAAAAGAATCTTCAGAATCTTCCATTTTACTGAGGTTTCGAAATTTCTGTTCCCTTCGATACATACTCAGAGTACGAAGCGGTGTATGAGAATTGGACTGGACGGGAGGAGAGATACATGTATTTACAACAACAGAACTTTCGACCTGAAATTCTGTGGGAGATTCAATTGGCGATGGTTCATCCGACCTGTTGATCGGTGAGATGAGATGAAATTCTGGTGATTTATTGTCACTTCCATCACAAGGTAAACTAATTTCTTCAAGTTGAGGTAATTCGGGATATAATCGAGTCGATTGGGTGACAAAACTATTGTTCTCTGACGATAGATGACTAGACTCATCTTCGGAAGAAATAAAATGATCATAATCAGCGGAATTAAAGTCACAATTAGAATCATCGCCATTAAGGTTATAATAAGCACCGTTTTCTTTTGGCAGCTCGTCGATCTTTCTAAAAGCGGTCAGAGCTTCAGTGACATTCGCTTTGTCCAGAATGATTGTACCATTGATCTTCGGCTCGAAAAGAGCCCGACGAGCGGCCAAAGGTAACAATGAAGGGTCACAAGAGTTGTCGGTCGTTAAACTATTAGAATCCATTGAGTTTTCATTCATTAAAAACAAAACAAATCACGAAAATAAAATGAATCAAAATTGAAAATAAAATCAAGGGAGAAACAGAGACAATTAGCAAACTCTGTTGGAATTGATTACATTTAGAATTGTGATTAAAAACAATTGGCCAAACATTAGGAGAAACAATTAACTTGCCTACTAAATGGTTATCCAAATAGTGACAATCCAATGTTAACAATTAGTGAATTAGTGAGATTTTAAATTGTAAATTGTTTCCTTTTCATTGGTCACATTATCGAGACTCACTAGAGGGCAATAAGTGTGATTACCGCGCGATTAAAATCTAGTTGATTAACTAATTTGATTTAGTTTGTGTTCCCAGATTAATTGTCATGTTGATTGATCTTTCGTTCATAAATGGAAACTTTAATTCTGATTGTTTATTCAGTTTTCTCAGCTCAATTTGTTTTTGGCTTCTTTTAGAATCATAATTGTTCATTGGGATATTCAGTTAATTGTTTCGATTTCTGGATCAGTTTTAATTGTTGATTGAATTTGTTGTGATTTACATACATCAACTTTCTGATTGGATTTTTTTTTTGCTGCGATTTGGTTACGAGAATTGATTGGATTTGATTATTTATATTTGATTGGAGTTTTTTAGATGAGCAATTGAGTGAATTTAAATTGTTATTACAAGAGGAACTTGTGATTAAAACTGTAATTTCAATATTCATGCTTTGGATTAATTTTGTTCGAGGTGCATTTTAATTACATCGATACTTTGTTTTTGATTGGGGAAGAAAAAAAATGATCTGATTTTGAAGAGATCGATCACAGGTTACAACGATCATCGGATGTTTAATTTCTTTGAGAAATTATTGATTAATCATTCTGAAGATCAGTTGAATTGTGGTGACATTTTTTTTTCTATCAATAAAAATAAAAGATTTTTGGATGAGAGTGATTATCCATAAAGAGAGAAAGAGAAAAATGAGACTTTCTATTTGATGTCGATTCCCATTAGAATGAGAAATTTTCCCATTGGTGTTGGTCCAAATCCGAAAGATTCGAGATGCTTGGTGATCTTATTGCTCAAGTTTCGAGCTCGAAAAGTTGCATGGCCTAAGATGGTCATAAGAGGAGTTAATATTCCCCACATGAGAAGATAAATATCGAAAAAATAGAAAACCAGGCCAATACAAGCGATTAAAATGGCCATTGAAGCAGCAGCATATTTCTCCTTGAAATTGGTTATAACGGGAAGTTTTGAGGCCACAAGAAGATAAATAACGGCCAATAAATACATCGAAAAGACTCCTTTCATCATTCGATCTGGTTTCAAAATTCTGTAGAAATGCAATAAGACAAAAAAGAGAAACATGATGAGCAATTAATTATAATCAGTAAATGATTAAGGTAAATGAGTCTAGAGAAAGTATCATGTATATAAAACACAATCATCTCTAATTCAAGGACAATACGATGAAAGCGAATCATTAAATAACTTGTTTACATGATATCACCTGGATGAAATGTTTACAGGTGATTACTGAGTTTACTCATTTGATGAACAATTCATGATGGAAAACAGAGAAATCAGACTAAAACGACTTTAAGAGATGACAGGAAGGTTAAAAGGATAAACAATTTAGAGATTTATTTCTTTTCTCAAATTGTTGAAATAGGAAAAATTTGAGAAAATCAATCAAAAGAATTAGCTAAACATAAGTAACTATCATTGAGAATGATTAAATTGGAGTTGAGAGCCAAGAAGGTTCATCTGTCCATCTCTATTGGTCATCTAAGATGTGTTCACTAGAATTTGACAAAAAGTTTGGGTCTTATTTTTGCTTCTTTCTGATTGTTTACAATTAATTAAAATATATAAAATGAAAGTTCAGCTATTCATCTACATTCATGAAAAATTTCAAAAAATTCTGATGAAAGGTTTTTAAACAATTAAATTTTGAAAAAGTTCAAATTGAAAATTTTTATGTTATTCTCTATGAGAAATTAACATGGAGAGCAAGAAATGCGTTTGGTCAGAATTTTTAAATTAGCATATTTTTAATATGCGATTTCATGGTAACCTTTAACCTTTACGGTTTTTTATCATTGCCTCTGAGCATCTTTTGGTGTTTTCAAAAATCAAATGTGACCTTTGGTTCTCGTTAAAAAGCCATTAATTCGAAAAATATGGTGAAAATTCTGATTTTCGCGATTTTTTTTCAAAATTTAATTGTTTAAAAACCTTTCATCAGAATTTTTTGAAATTTTTCATGAATGTAGATGAATAGCTGAACTTTCATTTTATATAATTTAATTAATTGTAAACAATCAGAGAGAAGCAAAAAAAAGACCCAAACTTTTTGTCAAATTCTAGTGAACACATCTTACTATTCTCTAGGTCATTATTTAGGTTTTTTTTTCTTTCAAATCTTGAAACGTCAAAGAAATGAAAAGTTTAAAAGAATTGAATTGCATGTAAATCTTATTCTTTTACCTAATCAACTCAAAAGAAAATATCATTGGCCAACCAATACTCAGAGACGAAACATGAACAATTCTAATTGGTTAGATTGTGACTTCTATTGAAATGGTGTTGGTGAAGAAGCTAATGCATCGGAAATTAACATAATTAACATTAATTAAAAAAAGATAATGAGAACAATAGATAGAATAAAACAAAACGAATAGACCAACAAAGGACAAAGACAAAGAATCATCGTGAGCTAAAGAGCGGAGGAAATGTTCAATTGTGTTACAATCGAAGAAGCGGAATTCCAATTGGAATAGACAGATAATTTCCTAGTAATCAGGTAGATTAGAACAACAGTTATTTATAAAACATACCCAGCAAAAATGCAGGCGATGAGCCAAATGGTAAAATAATTGGTTTGGTAATAAAGTAGATTATCTCTAATCCTTCTGGTAAATTTGGTCGGATCATTGTAAGCGGGTAGCTTGAAACGGCCCATAAAATCATTGGTCCTGAAAGGAGGGACTTCAAACGATGGACTGGATGAAGAAGAAGATGAAGCTGATGATGAATCCATGGTTTAATACTAAATCAATTGAAGAACAAATCAATTGAAACAAATTGTGAACAATTAAATCAAGAGAAAGATGAAAAAGAGAAACACAAATGTCAATGGAGATCAACAAACAACAGAGAAAAACCAAAAGCGCCCTCACCTTTTTGGAAAAACAACTGAAAAGGATTCGAATTTGTTATCGAGTCCCAGAGACGAAATTCCAAATTCGATTGATTAATTTTCTTCTATTATATTTGAGAGATTCCAAATTTTTTTCTCTTCCAATTAAAACACAATCTTAATTAACAGAATTAGATTAACATCTCTAACTCATTCAATATAATTTCACAATTTTATTGATTAGAGAAAACAATTAGATCTGATACTTGGATCGGAAGATATTTGATTCCGATCCTTTTGGTTGGATTTCCAATTCAATTGTTGTTGTTTTGAGTTAATTTTTTAATTTGTTACATTTAATTGTCTCGGGTTTTGTTTTTATTGATTGTTAATTATTAATTCTTTGGTGAGTATCATTTTGTGTTCTTGATTGGGCTCTTACTTTGGCTTGTGGTTTAATTGTTTCTTTTTCTCTTCTTTTAGGCCATGACATCTATAAAAGAGCGTGAAACTGTTCCTGATGAATTGATGGCTTATGTTGACAATTTAAGGAGATTTATTAAAGATCAGAAAATGATACGAGAAGAAAATTGTTGTCAAAGATTTACCATTGAACCTATTGTCCAAATTGAAACGGAAATGGATGAAAATATAAAAGCCATTCTACCCAAATTAGAAATTGAAATTCAACGATGTTCCAAAACAGTTGATTCATTGAAAAAAGAAGCTCGTGAACTTTTACATGATGCCGAAATGTCTTATCGATTGAGTAAATCTGGTGTTGCGTTTAGGACAATTTATAGTTCACCGGAAAATCTACAATTTAATAGTCCATTTGTTGACAAATATTTCCAGGCTAAAATAGAAAAATTTGAGGAAAGAGTTAAAGTTTATCAAGACCAGATTAAAGATCTTCAAACTCTTCTAAACACTTACAATAAATCACATACACCAGAAGAATTATTCGCAATAATCAGACGTCAACATGAAATTCTCGTTGGATTATCATCTCAAGTTTACGCTATTCAAGATTCTGTGTCTAAAAGTGGCCGTCCAGCTTTAATTGCCTGATCTCTACTATTTCTATCATTTTGATGATCGGATAACAACTGAGAACTAACTCACACAATCATCTAAATTTCTCTCTGTTTACTCAATCAAACTAATCAACAACCCAAAGTAGATGATGATTTGAGAGGCGACCATCAAATTACTCATAAAAACTGATAAGCTGATTAATCAGATGCCCTCAATGATTAACTTTCTTTTTCTACCATAATGATACAACATTTGGTCAAAATATCTTCAAAAGCCTTTCCCAAGTATCAATGAAGATTCCAATTTCAATTGTGATAAAGAAAAAAACACAAACCGAGAGAGAGAAAAAAATCAAGAACAAAAAAAAACAACAGAAAAATGGTTGATTCTTTATCCATGTTTATCTGATACAATATTAATATCTTCATAATAATAATATTCCCCCTCCATCTCTCAACATGTAACAATTGCCCCGCCAAAGTAAACAAGATGATTGTTAACTTAATCGCGCTCTCATGGTAACATTGATTAAAACTTGATTAACCATTTTCTTCTGATTGTTACCTTTTTCTTTCCATTACACCTTATCATTAATTACCAAGTTACCTTCTTCCTTTAATAACAATCAAACTATTACAATCAGTGTAGAGCAATCAACTAATAACATCGTGTGATCTTCCAATCAATTTAAATCTAACGGTTAGTTTTCAATCATTTTTTTCTCTCTAATTTTTTCCATTGACAAAAATTAAACTAATTTCTGATTTCTTTTCACAATTAACTTAATCAGAAATGACGCTTTGGGACTTTGCCACCCCAGATGCTGCTCTTCCTTGTTTCAAGTATTTCATTTTTGGATTTAATTTCGTCACTTGGGTATGTTATCCGTTAATTGTTCACTAATTGCTGTAAATTAACTTGACCACTCTTTTAATTAAGTGTCTTGGAGCAGCTTTACTAACCATTGGAATCATAATCAGGACGGACGACACTTTGTATGAATACACGAAAGCGCTTGAGATTCAACGTTACTACATTTCGACCTACCTTTGTATGGGCATCGGCGTTTTAATCATCATCATTTCATTCATCGGGTGTCTTGGTGCTGCCGTTGAGAGTCCATGTCTTCTTGCATTTGTAAGTGATTAACAATTTAGTCTAATTGTTGTGTGTGTGTTAATTGACTAATCGTTTTTGTTTTCTAATCAATCAAAATTAAAAGTATGTCTTTGTAACGGGCATTTGTATGGCCTTGGAGGTCGCTTGTTGTGTCATGGTTTGGAAAACCGCTGGAGGCGAAGCTGTAAGTAGACTTTTGATTAATTTATTAATCATTCAACGTTAAATTAGTTTAGTTAAACATTTAATTAACAGTAATAATTGTCTATTACTTGAGCAAATGTTTCTCTATGAGTGTTTCTCAAATACAATAAAATCAAGAGCAAACAAAGATTATCAATTAAGATAATTTAGACTTTAACGTTTTCCTTTTTTTAAGATGATTGTTTCTCATTGATTGGAAAATTAATTGTTATTAATAGTAAATTAGTTAGCAATTAAATTGTTCAACTTAAATCGTAGCCGAATCTAACCAAACTCAATCTAATTAAACTCGAAAACAACCTAATTCCGTTGAAAAATGACCTAACCCAAACTAAAGTAATCGCAGTCACGATTGGGTCTCTCACCTTAATCAACTCGTTTAACATTTAATTAATCAGTTAAACCGATTAATTAGTTAATTTCTTCTCAATCAATGAATCTGTGTGACTTTAATCAATTGAATTGTTATTTTCTTTTTAGCTTCAATCAGAATTAACTGAGCAAATGTTAAATCACATTCGCATGTATAATTCAAACCTTGATTCTAAGCGATTTATGGATTTAATTCAGTATCGAGTAAGTTAATCTGATTAGAATTGTTCAAGTTAACAATTCGATAATTGCTTGTTAATTACTTTCTCTTTCATTGAATTTTAGCTCGAGTGTTGTGGTGCCCGTGATCGTTTAGATTATGATAAATATTCACTTGATGATCCACCTTCGTGTTCATCAGAAAGGACAAATAATATCAACATCAGGGTAATTATCTAATGGAAAATTAACCAATCTAATCAATTAATTGTTTCTCCGATATTTTCAGAGTTGCGGTGAGAATCTACGTCGATATTTGGAGAAACGAGGTGGGGCCATTGGCGGTGTTTCCATGGGACTATTGTTACTACATCTTTTCTCACTCGGATTCAATAGTTGTCTATTCTGGGGACTTCATCAACAATCCCGTTATCGTTATTAATCAACCCTCTGGAAGAGCAATTTGATTAGTTAATAGATTATAATGGAAAATACCAATCATCTAATTCAACTTTGCGACTTTTGATTTCATTTCATTGATTAGCTTTTCGAGAAATTTATTCACAATTTATCATTTCTTTTTTTTTCTCGATTCACTTTAAATCAACATTAACAAAACGATTCGTTTTTTTTGTATTAATCAAAATTTAAGATCATCTTTTTTTTGAACAATTAAAGAAACTTTTTTTTCACTTCGATTGTTTCGTCTTTCGTATAATCTTTATTTGATCTTATTTCGTTTTCGAAATGTTATGTTAAATTATTCCATAGTTTCTTTGATCCATGAGATTTTCGCTCTAACATTAGCGTAGACTGCGTTTCCATCCTTATCCCCACAAACTGGACCAAGAATTGTTCCAGTAGTGACCATACTTGCGATTCCAAAGAGATACCAAGTATCGTCCACTTGACAGACCAAAGGTCCACCCGAATCACCGCTACAAACTCCCAGTCCATGTCCACCGACTTTGATACAAATCTGAGAGTCACTTGATGTATCGACTTCCTCAGCATCACCCATAGACTTTGAGCAAGCATTTATATCATCAATTTCAACGATTATCTGCTTGAGAATACCACTGCTTCCGGTTCCTCGAGTTGCTCCCCATCCTGTTACAAAACATTTGGTTCCTTTGGTTAATTTTGTCTTCGAATCTGCTAAACAAATTGGATTAACAGAATCGGTTATTTCCACAGGAACACTCAGCTTCATCATAGCGAGATCATTGATGTGATCGAAATCACCGGTTTTCACTTGAAAAGGTATATCACCATACTGAGTGACAGAATCTACTGAGCGAGTCTGTTCAGTTCCATCATTTTTGAAGGAGTTATGATTACCAAGAACAACTCGAATATCTGAGGATCGAGGAACTCTGTAAGATTAATCATGAAAAAAATCATGAGAATATAATTAATCTGAATTGATAACAAGTTTCGACAAAAAACTTACGCGGCAGCACAATGGGCTGCAGTTAACACATATTGAGGATGGATTAAAGCTCCTCCACAGTAATGCCCTGAGGGCCAGAGGAATCGAGCTTGAAGATCAGCCTGCCAAGGCCAACTTCCAGGAATAACAGGATCACCACCAAGAATTCTGTCCGTGAATCCACTTGTATCTGGTTTGATTTTTTGTTTTCCACATTCATATTTAGGTAACTTTGCCTTTTTACATCCTCGTTCATCAGATCCATCGGTACATTCATATTTACCGTTGCAAAGTAACGTACGAGGGACACATTCACCTGAGAAACACCTAAACTCTTGATTTGAACATTTGTCATAATTTTTCGAGGTTGTCCAGGAGATATGGAAACCACGGCCAGAAAAAATATAATCGCTAACAAATTCAATTTTCAACAAAGAAATTTCGGAAACTGTCAAGTCTTTTGGTTTCCAAGTTCCACATACGCGTTGGACTAGCGCTTCTTGAGCGAGTGACGATCCATAAAACGAAAGCGAATCGTCGTCACATCCAAGTGATTCGTCGAGATCCAAATCTTCAAATTTAACTGTTAAATACTATCAAAGAAAATGGAGAAAAACAATTAAGTTGAAAGTAGAAGCTCACAATTAGTAAATCGTCATCATATTGGTAGACATACCTGTCCATCGGGAATCAAGATTGACCATTTACAATCAAGCCCTTCGGAATAAGATTGATTAGAAAGGTAACCGGGGCTGTAGATATGCCCTGAGGGCTCTGTAAGTATATAAGGAACATCTTTGTTACAAATTGAATCAGGAGCAATCGATAAGCAATTAAACGATTGGTTAAAAGTGATTAGAAAACTTAATAAAATTAAAACTCTCATCGTTTATGGTTAAAATGGAAACAACAATTAAATTGGAAAGTTAATCTTGTAAATGTGATTTGTAAATTTATTTTTCTCTCCATTTGATTTGCTTAATTATCATCGGAAAATTAATCATCAGATTGTAATAATCAAATTTGTTCACAATAAAATCAATTGAACTTGATAATTAACAGTGGATTCAATTGTTTCAATTGTTATTATGAACAAAGAGGAAACAATTAATTGATGAGAATTTAATTGATTGGTGGTAAAAAAGTGATCATTGTGATTAAATGAATTGTTGAATATAATCAATATTGGAAAATGATTGTAATCAAATCATGAGATTTTTGTTTCAATGTTAATTGTAATCTGATGAACTAAAGATTAGCTATAAAGACAAGAAATGATTTGATTTTTTTTCCTCTCGTTTTATTAAAATAAATTAATCATTAAAAATTTTCTTAACTTATTGATTGTCACAATTATCTTACAATAATTTATTGATCAGATAAATTGTTCAAGATTTTAAACAAATATCACTAAAAATCAATAACGATTTTCCTAATCTATTGATAATCAAAATGTACATAGATTAGATTAAGATAATCCATTGACAAGGCCATAGATAACCAGGGCTAATAATAATCACAATTTTAATTGTTACCCATTCATTAATTAGAATAATTATTTTTTTTTCAATTCTAAAGTTGAATTTGAATTTACCGCTTTTCTAATTATGTTGATGTGATTCAAGTGGAATTTTTTTTCGCCATCAAAGTGACTTTTTATTTCAATGTTTTCTCAGATTTTGATTAAACTGTTGACACTTTTTACTGATGGAAAACAAATTTTCAGTCTTTAGATTACTGAAAGTTATTCTTTAATCGGTGATTGAGATAATTGTTATTCGGTTTTAATTGAATTTCCAATTGTAAACATTTAATTTAATTAAAACGAAAATAAGTTCTCAGCGCCATCTCTTGTTCTCTTGACTTTCCCGGTCTCTTATTGGTGAGCAGAAAGTGAGAAATTATTTTAATCCAGTCTCATAGGGCAAAGTCTGATCGTTTTTAGGGTTGATTCTTATTTTCCTGGTTTATCAAATTATCTGATTGATTTGTGTTTTTGTTTTAATTTGTTGTGCTCTCCATTGGTTTAGACTTTGATTTTAATTGTTTCTCTTTCATCTGCTTCAAAATGACCAAGAAAAAACGAGGTGGAAATTCAAAGAGAGGTCGTAAAGCCAAGGAAGAGGAATTTACTGTTGAATCAATTGTTGACCGTCGAGTCAATAGTGAAGGTGTCATTGAGTATCTTCTTAAATGGGTTGGTTTTAGTCATGATGATAATACATGGGAACCTGCTGATAATTGTGCATGTCCAGAACTAATTGAAGAATTTGAAAAAGAAGCCAATCGCCGAAGGAACATTACTGACATTGATCTTGATGATACTGATGCAGAAGATGAAACTGATAACGCCAATAGTAGTTATAATAAAAAGAATCAGAAAAAGGCTGATGATTCTGAAACTGAAAGTGAAATGAATGAAAAACCTAAACCAGCTTCACGTAAATCTCGTAAAAATGGAACCCGATCTGCTTACAAGGAAGATACTACAGAAGATGAAGAAGATGACCTTATGGAAGTTGATCGGTCAACCATAAGTAAAGACAATATTGCCTTGGAAGAATCGGAAGATAGTCTGGATTATAATAAGAGTAAATATTATAACAAGGAAAATGATGCTTCTAAAATTCAACCTGAATTTGAGATTGAAGAAGATGATGATGACAAAAGATCTGAGAAAAAAGATCCACCTAGAGATAAATTTGATGAAATTATGTTCAAAACTACTTCATCTCGCTCATCTTCAGCCATCTCACCGACTACACCTACTAATACAATTTCCGAGAATAATTTGGCCGCCGAAAGAATTTTAAAAGCGGGTCTACTCAAAGATGGTAAAATCCATTTCATCGTCAAGTTGGAAGGTCTAAATGAGCCTCAAAGATATTCCGCTGCCGATGCTAATAAGCTTTTCCCTCAAGCAGTCATTTCTTATTACCAAACCAGAATCAGATGGGAATGAGAAGCTTTTTTATAATTTCAATTTACTCTCCCAGTTGATATCACTTTTTTCACATTCTAATCCGATTTTCATTCAATTTTCAACCAACTTTTCTCTCTCTATCATTGTCACTCTATTATACTATCCTTATTTTTCCCAAGTCTTTTTCTTATCCCATACATGATGTTACTTTATTTTTCTTTCTTCTGACTTGAAGCTTTAAAACTCTCTCATTTGTAAGACACCAAAATTGTTCATCTCAAACAAAGAAAGTCTTCAAAAAGCATGAATTTCCACATGTTCCAAAATCATTAAAAAAAATTTTGACATTTGTATGAAAATTTCTTTAATTATTAGACTATTCTTTTTGTTGTAATTAATTTAATCTGAAGGTTTGACATTGATGGTGATTGTTGATGAAGGTGAAACAACAAATCTAAAGCCGGTCTTCAACCACGCGGTCCAAGTAGTAACTGTAATAACAAGAAAAGATTTTTTAAGATTAATCACTTGTTACAATCAATGTTAATTATGATTCTATGACTGTTACCTGTCTCTGTAATTCTTTCTCTATTGTTGACCTTTCAATTTCCACCCAAATAGGTCCAAACAGAACAATACTAGAAGTAAATGTAACCCAAACAGATGACCGACTAAACTGATAAGTAGCTTTCACTGCTCTAATTGTACCATCGAAAACGGAATAAGATGCATTTCGAACACACTCAGGGAACATTTCGGTTAAACCATAAAGTCTCTCAGCAATGGTTTCATCAATGTCCGGCTAAATAGAATAGAATAACAATGGAAAAAAGAAAAAACAAATTAAAAGAAAAGAAAATGTGGTTAAGGCGAAGGTCGTGATCTCAAGGTAACATTAGACAGAAAAGAGAAAAAGAGAACAAAACGAAAAGAGAAAATGATCCAATTACTTACATCATCTTCGATTGCATTCATTATTGGAAAGTAAAGGTAATGCCAACAAAAAGAATAGAAAAAATTAGCGACAATTTAATTAATTACTAAATAGAATAAAAAAACCAAAAATTTTCTCCAAAATTAAATAAGAAAATCGGACAAATTTTCGCGTCGAAAACCGGAACCGGTTTTTCCAAGAACCGAACAATTTTAGTTACTGTTTCTATCGGCAGATGTCTCACTGATTTCGATTTAAAATCAAAACAATCAAGTGATTCTTGTCTTGATCTCGACAAGTTATTTACAATTGAATTGATGTTTAAATGACTGTAAATTCAATGTTTTCTGTTAAATTGTAAAAGTGAAGGTAATTCATCAAGTGTTTTCTTGGAATTGTGTCAAAGTCACAAGTTCTTCTTGAACAATTCAGATTCTATTGATTAATGTTTTTGCCATAGAAAAAAAAATCAAAACAAATAATGGGCGATGATAAACAATTGGGTCGGACTGCGGTCAATTCTTCGAAGTCAATTCCACCTCCACCACCTCCTCCTCCTCCACCTCCATTACCTTCAAGTGTCACAAGTAAACCTGCACCTTCCCTTGTAGCGGAACTTTCAACCGTCTCTCTTAAACACAGGCCACCTCCAACCTCCAAAAGTAATAATTTGACGCAAAGTAAAAAAAATGTCCCAATGGTTCCCGGTGGTCCATTTAGACTACCACCAGCTTCAACTTTGAAAAAAGTTCGCCCACCACAACCGCCATCATCTTCATCCTCACCATCACCATTACCATCATCATCTTCATCATCAGCTCAATCTTTACCATCAGCAATTAATTCTGGCAGATCAATTGATCCTCTTTTAGCTGAAATCTCTGCCGTTTCCCTAAAGTCCAGGTCAACTCAAGGTGGTAAAAAAAGTGTCTCCAACATTTCCAATACCTCGAATGACACCTCATCTGGTTCATTTAAACAACCAGCACCTTCAACTTTACCCAAGAAATTTCGTCCACCATTACCACCTCCACCTCCACCATCAGTTCCACCCTCTGGATTCTCAAACAATTCCAATGGCTCAAAATTCATCCCTCCTCCACCTCCTTCCCAAGCCTCTTCCAGTAGCCTCAAGAAACCTGCCCTTCCACCCAAAAAGATAATCAATCAACCTGTCAATACTAGCGAATCAGATAATCGACCTGCAACATCCACAACGAACTTAGAGTCGCGATTCCGTCACATATTTAAAGATCTCCACACTTTACCTGCTCCAGAGCCTTTTCTTAGCTCCAAAAAACAATATCCAAGTGAAAGTAAGTCCAATAATTTGTATCATTCATCAAAATAATTAATTCGTATCCTTTTGTTTCCATTTTCATCTACAGGGAAACCCCGAGGTCCAGCTCCACCTATTCCTTCACGATCAACCTCAATTTCAAATCAAAATGACAACAACGAATCAAATAAATTCAACTCAACGCCAATGCTTCATGTTCAACTTGAACACCAAGCTCTAGGTGTAAATTACAATACTAGATACTAACGAAAGAGCCTCTGGTTCAATCAAAATGAAAAAGGTAAATTCAAATTCCATACTCACAATATATAAATAAATTACTCTTTGGCAATTATTGATTTCCTGGTTTTTTTCTCTTCTCTATCTCCATAGATTATCGTTTATTTTGTTTTCCTCTTCTTCGTATTTGGATTGTACAATTAAAACACAATTAAGAGAAAGAAAGAGCTAATTGTTTTAACGAAAATGTTTCCAGTATAAATACAATGTAAAGAACTTTGGTCTTGACGATTGAACGACGTTTTCAAATTTTAAAAATTCTATTCAAACGATTCCCGATCAACTTTGTGATACAATTAAAAGACAAGAGTCAAGATTAAAAGATTGTTTAATTTAATTAGATTAAATTATCTTGATAAATACAAGTTTTGATGGAGTTTTTTTTGGCTTAAGAAAAAAAGATGAATAATTAAAGGTAATTAGTGAGCCCGTTTAACAGGCCAAATATTAATTCCAATTTTATCGCCATTAGGCTCTTGCTAATTATTATTATTATGACTTGATGATAATCAACCGTTTATGAGGTAAAACAAAAACAAATTGTTGATATGAATTACGATTGATTGTTGATTGTTGGCTGATTAGTTGAAAACAACTTCCAATCTATTTGTTGGTGATGAGTTTCTTTCGTCTTCTCCATTTGCTGAACAAACTGGATTAATTGCTCCATTAGAACCATTATTAGTTGATTCGATTAACGATTGACCAACTTCCCGAAGAGCCTAAAATGATGTAAATTGTAAACATAAATTATCATTTTATTAAATTGTTACGAAATTGTAATAAATTAGTTAATAGGAAATTAAAAAAACTACATCACAATTAACGTGATTATATTGACATTTCAATTCCAGTCAGGGAATTGCTATCAACCAATATCTTGAATCTCATCAAAGGAAAGTTAATTGTTAGTCAACTAAATTGTAACATTGATTATTAATCACTTTATATGTAAGAATTTCTAATTTTTTTCAATAATCAATCAATATGATTAAATTTTATTTAGGTAAATTGTTTGAATCAATTTTAACCGGCGGGTGAGAAAACTTTAATTGTTGGATAATCTTTAAGTTTTCATGTTTAAGGTTAAAATTTAACTACTAACTTTGATTATTTGATTTAAATTAGCCTTAAATTGTGAACAAATTAGGATAATTTAGTTGATGATTAACGTTAACATGATTAAGTTACCCTGATTTTCATGGTTGGTATTACAATTTAAATTACAGTAGTTACGAGATTAAAGCATTTAATTTCAATCTAATAATTAAATTATTGAACAATTTAACTTATTCTCATAATGATTAAACTTAATTAATGGATTTAAGTTCATCTTTTAATCCAATTAATTGTAATCCAAGCATGGAAAACAATTATATAATCATTAATTGTATCTAACAGGAGACAATTAATCAATGACAATTCATATAAAATCAACGGTAATTGTAATTGGATCAGATAATCAGGAATCAAATTACTAAATTATTGACTAAATTGAGTTATCAGCTGATCTAGTAACTATCAGAGGTTTTTAATCAATAATTAACTTGATTATAAATAAATTAAGGCGTGTTGGTGATGGTTTTAAGCCATAATTAGTAATTAAATTTTAACTAATTATCTAATAGTTTTCCATAATTAATCACAATTAGATAATCATGCCTTTATTAGTCAATGAAGAAAAGTTTCAATCGGTTAATGTAATCATTTTAATTGTAGTAATCAGTAAATTAAGATTGGTTAGTTAATCAATTTACTAATAATAATAATATATTCCAACACTAATAGTAAACAATTTGATTAACTTTTTACCGTTCTAATTATAATACACAAATATCACTAATTGTCAATTTAATCAACAGAAAAACTGTAAATCAGTGAAAATAAATCATTCTGACCTAATTTAATTGGGTCCGTTTACACTGATATTTGATTACAATTAAAGTAACAAAAAACTTGATTAACCAAGAAAATGAAACAAAGTGTTAAAACAAAACAATTGATTCCAATCAAATTAATCAAGTTTCTAATTACAGATTGATTGTTTTCATTCATTAGGTGACATTTATAACGGTAAAATTTAATTCCAATTATAGTTGATAAATGTTGTTAATTTGATTTCTTACTGTAATTGTCAATCAGATTAAATTAGATTTCCTGTTGAGTTAATTTTTCCGTAATTGTTTATTGTTGTGTAACCAAACTGGTTAAACAACCAGTTTCTTTTGTTCAACCAGGTACCACCTCTCACGTGGTACCTGGTTCATTCTATTGGTTAAAATTTTGGTAAAGATGAAGAAGGTGAGTGAGACAATTCTCTCCCTCACCACCAATATAATGGCCGATTTTCGGCCATTTTCCTTATGGAGATTTTGGGTAAAGTAACCCTGTTTTCGTAACAATAAAATTACCTTTTGTTAAGTGCTTGTTTCTCTCCATCTTTGGCACCCTTACGGGGATCTCTTTTATATGTGTTTTAGATAAAATATTGTACAACAATCTAAAGTGAATCACTTAGTTTAATCCTTAATGCTAATCCTATTTACTGTGTTTTAATCAATAAGTTTGTTAATTTATGTTCTAATCAGAATAGTAATTGTGGTTTTAACCAACAACTTAGTTAATTTCAATTCTAATTTCAATTAGAACAGTGATTGTGACTATAACCAACCCATTGGTTAATTTCAATTCTAATTTAAATTAGAATAGTAATTGTAACTATAACCAACACATTGGTCCCTATTTTAACGTTTATTACAAGTAGAAAAGTGCGGTTCGTATTGACAAATAAACTGGCTAATTTCTATCAATTAGAAAAGGTGCCTTTGTTTTGTAACTGTATAAAACAACAATTTAAACGCTGACTGACACAACGATTTTGGTTCTCGCTTACGATTTAATTCCTGGTTAACATTTTTTCTTCATTAATAAAATAAAATATTAAAAGAAATCCATTTACAACAATACGATTTTACGAAGCAAATCGATAAATTAAATCCAACAAATTGAGCCATTGGTCTGCTACCAGGAAAATAAATCAGATAAGTATTAAATTAATTTTGTCTCAAATCATAAACAAAAAACTGATCATATTGAGTTAAATTAACCATCGAAAATGAAATCATAATGATGGTGAAACCTAATTAGAATAACAAGAAAATTACTATTCACCTCATCCTCAATGAAAAGCAATTATTATTTCCTTTTGTACTCAATTCAACAAAAGGAACATTTTAACTTCGACCTTAATTCAAAACAAATAATTATTACATTTCATTTCAACCTCAATTTAAAACAATCAATTATTTCACTTCAATATAAATCATCGCTGTTTTCAATATAATTCGTCATTTATTGAATTAACTGATTTATTAAACCATAAATTACCTTCAACAATTAAACAATAAAACAATAAACAATTGAATTACCTTCAGCAATTAAACAATAGAAGAATGAACAAATAAATTACCTTCAACAATTAAACAATAAAACAATAAACAATTGAATTACCTTCAACAATTAAACAATAAAACAATAAACAATTGAATTACCTTCAACAATTAAACAATGAAACAATGAACAATTGAATTCAATCAGTTATAAATAAAATTAATTCTTGAACTGGGTGAGACAAATTAACTACAATCATAATTGAAATCAGTCAACTATAATTAAAAGTAAATCATTGAAATTTTCTCAAACTGAAGTGAACTTTTAACAATTGAAAGCAACCAACCATAATTAAATATAATTATCTGCACCTTTTGAATTGAATTGAACTTAACAACAATTGAAACCAACCAACCATAATTAAATATAATTATCTCACCTTTTGAATTGAATTGAACTCAACAACAATTGAAAGCAACCAACCATAATTAAATATAATTATCTGCACTTTTTGAATTGAATTGAACTCAACAACAATTGAAAGCAACCAACCATAATTAAATATAATTATCTGCACTTTTTGAATTGAATTGAACTTAACAACAATTGAAACCAACCAACCATAATAGAAGTATAATTATCTACACTTTTTGAATTGAATTGAACTCAACAGCAATTGAAACCAACCATAATTCAAGTATAATTATTCGAACTTTTGAATCAAAATTGCACTTATAATAATTGAATTCGCTCTCAATCAAATATGATTAACTCTATCCTCAATTAAATACAATTAAATTCTCTCTTAGCTCTCTTTCTTTTAATTTCAAGTTTCTTTCTTCTCTCTCTTTTGAATTTAGCTCTCTTTCTTTTTAATTTCAAGTTTCTTTCTTCTCTCTCTTACTTTAGTCTCTCTCTCTTATTTTATTCTCTCTCTTTTACTTTAGTCTCTCTCTTATTTTATTCTCTCTCTCTTACTTTAGTCTCTCTCTCTCTCTTACTTTAGTCTCTCTCTCTTACTTCAGTCTCTCTTACTTCTCTCTCTTATTTTATCTCTCTTACTTAGTCTCTCTATTTTATTCTCTCTCTTACTTTAGTCTCTTACTTAGTCTCTCTCTCTTACTTTAGTCTCTCTCTCTTACTTCAGTCTCTCTCTCTTACTTTAGTCTCTCTCTTATTTTATTCTCTCTCTCTTACTTTAGTCTCTCTCTCTTATTTTATTCTCTCTCTCTTACTTTAGTCTCTCTCTCTTACTTTAATCTCTCTCTCTTACTTTAATCTCTCTCTTACTTTAATCTCTCTCTTACTTTAGTCTCTCTCTCTTTTACTTTAGTCTCTTTCTCTTACTTTAGTCTTCTTTTTACTTCAGTCTCTCTCTTTTACTTTAGTCCCTCTCTCTTACTTTAGTCTCTCTCTCTTACTTTAGTCTCTCTTACTTTAATCTCTCTCTTACTTTAGTCTCTCTCTCTTACTTTAGTCTCTCTCTCTTACTTTAATCTCTCTCTCTTACTATTTTAATCTCACTCTTTTAATATTAATTCTCTCTCTTTTAATTTTCATTATGTGCAAAACATTTTGTCTATTTTTTTGTTTAATCATTATTTTCTGGTGATATGAATGATAACGATCACCTTTTAGAAATAGAGGAACAGGAAGCTATACACTTAATATTTGGAATTCAATTTAGTGATACTACAATCAAAGTTATACAATTATTAAGTTTTCTCTCTCCATTTATTATATTACTAATTTGGTTTATCTTTAAATTACAACAATTATACATTGAAACTCATTTCTCACCCTAACTATGGATGATCAACCTCTTTTAACTACCCCGGTGCTGGGGATTGGTAGAGAGAAGAAAAACAAATTAAATTCTACAGTAAATCAACAATTACATATTCCTAATTTCTCCGGTGATGGGGATGAGGATTTATTAGATTGGCTTGATCATTTTGAATCAGCTGCAGTTGCTCTTGATTGGGATGAAGAGATTAAACTAAAAGCTTTACCTGCTTATTTAACTGGTACCGCTAGTAGATGGTACAGATGTAGAATTAAACCTTTAACTGGCGATAATATTCCTAAAACTTTTGAAGATCTGAAAGTCAAATTGGTTTCAGATTTAGCTCCTTCAGGTTACCGGAAAAATTTAATTAAAGAGTTAAATAATAAGAAACAACGTTCAGATCAATCAGCTATTTCTTACTCTTACGAGGTTCGAGATCTATGTAGAAGAATTAACCCAGACATGCAAGAAGAATTAGTAAATAGCTTCATCGACAGAGGTTTAAAATCAAACATCCGAACTAGATTAGATTTACTAACAGCT